ATGAATATATATATACTGTATATATATATATATATATATATATATATACAATGTATAGTGATTTGTATAGTTCTTCAAGGCATGTCCCCCTTTCCCTGCAGATTGGACGTTCTCCTATCAGATTTGCACTGACAGTGGAACAAGAATTTCCTGTGATAAACCTTAAACCAACCACAGTGAAGGTGTATGACTACTATGAAACAAGTGAGTACCCTGGTGTGATTAGAAGGCAATAACGTAGGGCTGTTACTGATTAAAATTTTCGTGTTCGATTAATCGAAATTTTTTGTAATCGATTAATTTCAATTAATTATAACATACATACAGATCCAACTACATTGGCCTATACACATACTGCACAGCAATGAAGTAATAAAATGAACTAGGATCACACTAATCCAGCACGTTAATAATCTCACGTGCCCCACTCAACATGGCCGCCGCTTGAGTGGGGCAACTCAGAATAATAACGTGCTGGATTAGTGTGATCCTAGTTCATTTTATTATTTTATTGCTGTGCTGTATGTGTATAGGCCAATGCCTTGGCTGGCGCTCATGCAGAAAGATTTAAAAAATGTGTCATCGATCAAAAAAATGTTAATCGATCAAAAAAATTAACGATTAATCGAGAAATTAATTGTTAATTTGCACAGCCCTACAATAAAGGTATCTGGGATTCCGATTCTCAAGATCTGCACCGGTTAGGCAACCTCTGCACTCTAGCTGTGGTGAAACTGCAAATCCCATCATGCGTCTGCCTCTGGGAGTCATTCCTGTGGCTGTAAGAGTTAATGCCTCATGGGACTTGTAGTTTTACCAGAGCTGGAGGGCCGAGGTTGCCAACCCCTGACCCAGCTTATCCATTCCTAGAGCTGTAAATGTGGAAGAATTGAAGCCCAGACTCCAGACAAAACATTCTGTTTTAGTTTTGGACAGAGTCAGGAATGTTAGAGCATTTGTCAAGTTTTACATGCATTTCTTGTAGAGGAGATTTTTCTGTTAGAAGTTACATGTCGCCTGTTTATCCAAAGAGAAGAGAAAGGGAGGGCAAATATTCCTCATGGGGACACAGACAGCAATGAAGATGATTCTTCCTTATGCTCCCAGAATATGTTTTCCTTATTCCTTGTTTCCCATTTGGGGATCTTCTTTCAGTTTCTGTTCTGTCTGACACCCATCAAATAAACCCAATTGGGGACATATTTTGTATAAATCAACCGTGCAAGCTGATCTACTTCCTGCCCAGTTGTGTTTACTCCCTATCCAGCTACTTTTTTAATTCTGACCATCTATTTTCAGCCTTTGACCAGCTGCTTTATTTTCTACCTAGCTGCTTCCACTCTCTGAGCAGCCACTGGACTTTATTGCCAGCTGCTTTATTATTTACTTTGCCCAGCTGTGTTTTATGTCTGTCCAGCCCGGTTATTTACTTTTTGCCTCATCTGTTGTATTACTCTACTCAGCATCGCCCATGATGCACAATCCCTCATTTTAGCTCAGTGCTTCCTTTCTTAATACAGTAAACTCTCAGTAATCCAGAATTTAACTAACCAGAGCTCTCATCTAACCAGAAAAAAATCCCCTGTGTACTCGCTGTTCTGCTGATCTATCGTGTTCTATCCTGGAAAAGATTGTGTGCCTAATTGTCTAAATTTGTTTTAAGTGTCCTATTTGTCTTAATTTGCTTTTGATTACTGCATTTCAATATTAATATGAAGTCAATACAGAGTTCATGTTAGTATGGGGTATAGAATTTGTTAGACCTATTTTTAATAGTAACTCTTAAGTAACCAGAATCTACATTCATCCAGAATCTACCAATCCCCGTGTGTGCCGGATAACGGGGAGTTTACTGTACTCAACAAATATCCATATTGGGTGGACCGATGGCTTAGGGCAGAGGCAAGGCTTGGTCAGAAGTGATGGTGGTGTGTCATACCATAGTGGTGTATCAGATATAAAGCACAGAACACAGGAGCAGATCTCCAGCTTTCCCATAGAATTACACACATCAATGTACTATGATTGCATATTATCTAATGAGAAATGTTTATGTTCTTTTTTTTTTCTCAGATGAATTTGCAATTGTGGACTACCACTCACCCTGCACTTGGTGAGAATAAACTTTGTTTTTGCAATTTTTGTCTCTCGCTGCTACCAATGTGTTTGGAAATATATCAATGTCCTGTAGAGCCTTGGTTCTCAACTAGTGGGTCGCGACCCCATGTTCAGTGGGTCACCGCATACCTTCCACTTTTCTAGGTGAGAGGCTCCTCTGCTTCCCACTAGCGCAGCACTATCAGTTCTCATGCCAAGCAGCCATTAAAAATATGCTGCCTGGTGCCAAGTGTCAGATTGAGCTGGGGTGGGCTGGAGCTACGGCTGCGAGGGAGCTCCATCCATAAGTTCATTGCTTACAGCTCCCTCACATGTCCTGTAGAGGTGCCTGGACCGGAGTGATGTCACATTCTGGCTCCCGGCACCTATACAGAGTGCTCAAGTGAGCTGCACAAGCAATGCACATATAGATGGAGCTCCTTCACAGCACAGCACCCCACACTGGACCCCAGGCTGAGGATCCACTCTAGTTCTCATAAGGTGGGGAGACTGGGTGGACCTTAAAAAAAATAAAAAATACTTTTTTGGGGGAGTGTGTGTGTGTGTGTGTGTGTGTGAGAATGTCTGTCTGTCAGTGTTTTTGAGGGCCTGTTCACACTAGTACAGTGCATTAATCACACAGTCCCATGCCATTAATGTACTGCACCGCACATTCTGGTGTGGAAGGTGTTTGAATGGCACCCCAAACCCTCCTCCCACACCACAGTTCCATGGACCACATCGGAACCTGCAGTACCTTAATGCTGTGCGTTCCTTTGCAGTGCAACTTGGGTTGTGACTTAATAACAAATGTGGCCCCTGAGGTTACACAGGTTGAGAAACACTGATGGTGTAATAACAGTGTATTAATCTGATACATCAGTATTTAATTAGATTTAGCGTATGGAGGGTGAATGAATGTGGACCAGACCACTGAAGTGATTTTTAGAGGTGACAATATTGTTATTTTTAGTTGAGTGTTGATGGCTGTGTTGTGCAATAATTCTCAACTTGACATTTTGCAATAAAGTCATTCTTTGTTCATAGGGTAAACCGCTGTTAGCCAATTATGTAACCGCTCTTTGGACCACTTTCTGGTCTATAATCTTGTGAGCTTGTTTCTGGTTACAGGTTGTTATTTCTTTCACTCCTTTGATTATTTATATGTATATTGTTATTCATATGTTTATTTGTAGGATGTGAAGGAAACAATTATTCTGAAAAGGAATGACAGTGCTGATGACGCAATATTGGAAGATAAAAAAGACACAAAACAAACTTGGGGTTGTTTTAGTGTTAAATTGACAACATTCTGTCCGTAATAAACTGAACGTGCTGTAACAGAATTGACGTTGCCGGTTTTTAATGCCAACACGATCAAGCAGATGGATTGGAAACACATTTTTCAGAACAGCAAGCAAACAGATATGTTTTTACCCTGGAAGTGAGGCAAAGCTGAGGTGTTCGATTATAAAAAAAAAACTGTGGTAGAGTCCCTCTTATGTTTAGCTAAGTTAAAATTTAATTTGTTTGGTAGTTAGATCCAGTCCAGGTACTTCAATGTCAAAGAGGAACTGGTGGGTGATTGATATCATGTAGACACACACACACACAAAAAATCCATCTAGTTCAACATGTGCACCTGTGTCTCTGATGACAGTAGTATATTAAAAAGAAGGATAGCAATAACTCTCCTGGCTCCTGGCTCTAGTTCTCTTTACTGTAACAATCCACAAAAGTGTACACTCATTTAGGGCATGTCTATGTGTATTTGTGTATTGTTACTCAATACAGAGTGGCAGGATCACCAGCTGACAAAATAGGGAAAAAGTCTGACATAAGGCTTGTTCTTGGGTTTGGCACTCTGAATTCCTGGATATTCCACTTCAGATTCCTGTTTCCTCATCAAATACCCTTAGAAATATGTGCAGGTGTGCAACATTGGGCAATATACAAATCAGCTTGAGCTACATACTGCATACTTTACTTGTATATGCATAGTCTAAAATCATTTAGAACTGAATGAACCTTAACGACCATCTACATTACAAAAATGACATTATATGTTTCCTTTTCTATGGGTACATTGTTCCTGGATGTCTGGTGCACTGTCATAGGTCTGTACAGAAGTATTTCGGAGTTTTACAGATTTTTGAGTCTTCAGCCAGGTTACCAGGTAGCTTTAACCTGCCAAAAGAAAACTGATAAAATATACCATCTTTCCAGCAATATGATAGTGAGGCACGGGAGAGATGGGCAAGGATTTGTGAAATTTATCCTACATCATTATAATGCTTTAATATGCTGCAGGAACTCACCTGTTGTGTTTGGTCTTGCTGTTGTAGTAGACCCTACAAATTGTCAAATAATATACATTATATTTATTGAAAACTCATCGGTGGTACAATAAAATGACAATGAAATAGCATCTACCCATTGCACGCTAGGGAATGCTAGAGCAAGAATTTATAACGTTGGAAATCAGCTATGTTCCTGTTATTTACTACATATCTGACCTGTTGAATCCTTGAAAATGGGTTATAAGTACACCTACAATATGGAAAGTTCTGCCTTCTTGTGAAAATGTATGTAGAATGTACTTTTCTTCCGGGGTTCAGAATTATCTTAAACTCTACAAGGCAGATGTAGAGAAACTAGAGAAACTGTACACGGAAACTTTACTTTAAAAGACATTTCCCATTCAACAGGAAATTATCTATTTACATATGACAAGGGATGAGCTTGGGTTCATCCAAATCCAGAAGGAAGCGGTCATCCGTGCCAGCCCAATCAGCTGCAGCTGGGGTATTACCTGCAGCTCTATGTAAATAAAGGGGTGGGATGCTGGTGACATTATTGACCATATGGTCACATGACCAAATTTGGTCAATGACATTTACCTAATATGGCCATGACTGCAACTCATTCCTTCCCGGTTAGGATGAACTCAAGTTTTGACCGAACCCATGCTCATCCCTATTTATGACCTCTATGGTTCATAACTCAAGGAGGTCCTACTCCCACTTCTCCTGGGTCTTAGCCATACTGAAGGGGCACTTATAGCTTACACCCGCTACAACAAATTCTAATGACAACTGACTATACAGACAAGAACCAATGTGTGAGAAAGGCCAGAGCACTAATTATTTATCTGCATCACAGGGACTCTGCTATCATTACCAATGGGGTCGATAAAGGTGGGGGTATCACTGTGGTACTATGTGGACGATCCTAAGCAGTTAAGTTGAAATAACTTTAAGTAGATGTAAACCCAATCACTAAAATATCACATAAGCTTCAACATGTTAATGTAATTTCAAAAGTAAAGCAGCTTTTGTTAAAATGATGTATGGTGATCCTGTCATGAAGGTTCAAATTTAGGCACTTCTTATTATAGGGTGGCAACGCTCTGTCCCTGTCTCCCAGCTATGCTCCTGCCTTGTCACCCTGTCACACAAGCTTCCAATGGAGCCTACAAGTGGACATTGTAACACATTTAGGTCCACTGTTGTCACCATTGGGAAACCCACCATGAGAAATGCCATGCAGCCATCTCCGGAGTGCAAATATATAGAATGGAAGTGGCTGCAGAGATGCTGCAAGAGATCAGCACCACAGAAATTCCACAAAAGATAAATAAAGGTGAATGTATAAAGGTTGTAATGATATCTGCAGTACAAAATGCACTTACCTGATGCACACGCTACACCTGCATCCTCACTGTGGTCACAGTTGTGAGTGCCCCATGTTCGGTGGGGACACTGCCATACAGCAGATTCTGTGTTTCTACAGTCCACATCATCCAGCCAAATGTTGCCAGTCCCTCGACCAAAGTATGCCATTCTAGGAGCTTTCTGGGCTGCTCCACAGCCAAGCTGTCTGCACACCACGGTAGCTGCTGCCATGCCCCATAGGTCATCACACACTGTACCCCATACACCTCGATAGGAAATTTCCAAACGCCCTTCACAGTGATGACTTCCATTAACAAGTCGTAAGCTGGCGGGAATTTCTAAAAACAACAGGGAAAAAGATATACATAGATAAGATAAGATATTATATAGATTTCTGAAAAGCTAAATCTGTCGAAAAAACAAAATATCTTGACATGTCTGCGATGACAATAGGGTGACGATTAGACTTTTCATCAACCTCCACCATCAGGAGTGGTTTGAGCAAAGGTGGATTACCATTCCAACACAGGTCCTAGATTATTTTCTGTATACAGTACCCATGTGAGTGCAACATAAAGAGATATTCATTGCCCAGATAAGAAGTAGGGGAGCAACTGCAGCCCCAATTATTATGCTACAGAAACTCACGTGTTGTGTTCTGTTTTGCTGCTGTAGTAGAACCTACAAATCGTAAAAAAAATGTATAATTACTATATTTAGTCAAAATACATACACAGCAGTGCAATATTAATAAGGGTTATATATATATATAAAGCAGTTGGTGTGGCATTCACCAAATAATCACTGCAGGTGAATCAATCGTAATTTAAAATCCACATGCCAAGAAGATATACCTACAATGAACTATTGGTGAATGCCACGCTTTCTGCTTTATAAATATACCTCTAGAATAACAACAACAACAAATTGTCTTAGGCCCCATTCACACTGAGCGACATGAAAATCGCGCGATTTTGAGCGATATTGCGCGACGAGCAACATCGCGTGACTTTTTCCTATTGGGCTGTATGCAATCAGGAGCAATATCGCTCGAAATCGCTCGAAAAAAGGGTCATGTAGGAGCGACAAGCTACCAGCTACGAGCGATATTGAGCGACGAGATGTGAACAGCTCCATTGAAATGGATTGGAGAAGCTACATAGAGCGATATCGCGCGGAAATATGAGCGATATCGCTGCAAAAATCGCTCGATAAATCGCTCAGTGTGAATGGGGTCTTAGTGGGTCAGTATAAATCAGCGGTCACTAAATGGCAGACCGCAGAACAGACATGGACCGAGTGGTGGTTTTGTCTAGACCACGATTGCCTACCTGCGCTGGGTAATG